AAAAATGTATTAATCCGATTAATTGTTTCAGCCCTAATCTTAACCCATATTTAGTTTTCAACAACCTTTCAATTTTTTTCATTTGATGCAACCATATCAGGGGCAACCATATCAAAAACTTTCGAGATCACCCTCTGTTTTTTAGAATGGATTGTTTAAGCAACACTTCAGATTTAGGTTAACTAGTTTTGCCAAAACACCTGATCATCTATGTAATAATTATCCATTAGGAAGATATTTAGAAATCCTATTGAACAATAGATAATGGGAAAATGTGGAAATGAATATCCACATAAATAATAATAATAAAAATAGCTGCATTATGCGCTATGGTGCATATTCTAATTTAGCTCAGTTTTTGCGTTTTTATGAAGATATTGTTTCACCTCCAGATGCCATAGATTAACAAACAGAACAAATGACTGCAAAGCCTTTATTTTGCCCACGAAGTAAAACTGTATGGCCAATAGCATAAATTAGTAGAAATAATATAAGGGTGTGTTAATTATTTTTATTTTTTTATTTTAATTGTTGTGTTTGTTCCTGTGAGCTGAATCAATGAGGATGACGTCATGGCCCGTGTTTCGAATGTCGGGAACGCGCCCTGGTTAGGAGGCCGCGCGTGCTGCTGGGGATACAACTTGTTCAAATCTACAGCTCAAGGTCGTTGACAGCCCTCAATACCTTGGATTTCAGGTACCGACTTTATCCCAGACAGATATAGGATCGTCTCGCTGCGTGTAATTAATTTTAAAGTCGTCAGGAGAGAGTCTTGAAGCGCACTCGTTAAGGTTGGCTCACTATGCTAGCAGAGCAGCTAACGTTAGCCTACTAAAGCTAGAGTTTATTCGATTAAAAACAACATGGAAGAGGTTTGTTTTCTATCCACGTTCGGTCTATTTAAATGGAACATTAACGTGTAAGTTTCGGTCTTGTTCACACGAGGGTATGTTGTGTCCTATAGATCAAACGGCGACCGAGGCTGTTTGCTAGTGTTACTGTTTGCTCTGAGCTATGCCAACACAGGACTGCTGCTGTTTTCTACCACAGCCTGTCAGTTGGAAGTTGTTTAGCTGGATTTTTAAGCAGTCTTGTCCTCCTGTTTGTCGCGTATTTCGTTATGTAAGAGTTTCATGTATTTTCTAGAGTTTGGTTCATTGCCGACTTGTTTTGGTTTTGTTCCTTTTTACGGTAACTTTTATGTTTTTTCCCCAGATCTAAACATCTTGCTTTGCGGCGGAAGAAAGTGTAATCCATCAGCTAGCTGGTGCTTTCGCACACCGCCCTTTAAACTGCAGTTGTGATCGACTCTTTTGTAGCTTTTGTTTGCTGAGCCTTTCTCGTTTTTTCCTGTCATATCCTCAGTTCCGTAGAAAAACACTTTTTACTTCATTGCCATAAAAAATGAATCAATTTGACTAGATTTTGAAATATGCTCCGAACTTTCATAAACAAATAATTTTGTTTATTGCATTATTCAAAAACAAAAGTTTGAAATTTGTTTTTATTCTTTTACACTCTACAGGCCGGACTCTGTCACTCAGTTCGTGATGTTGGACAGCATTTTCTGAACTTATAAATCTGTTGGAGTAACTTCTATCAAATTCATAAAACTGATAAATGCTGTTAGAAGACAATAATATCAAAGGATCTGAAACCCTGAAATTCTTCCAGCTCTGTTTTAATGCAGCAATCGCCACCTCTAAGCTCTTTTAGCTGAAAAATAGCCCCCACAAACCCATCTAGTAAATTGAAGACAATTTCTACTAACTTTTTCTATCACATTTTCAGGAATTTCCTCTCCCAACCCCCCTCCCCCCTCTGTCAAAGCATGGCTCAGGAGACCAATCAGACGCAAGTGCCAATGCTTTGCACTATGGGATGCGGTTTCTATGGTAACCCCCGCACCAACGGCATGTGCTCCGTCTGCTATAAGGAACACCTGCAGAGACAACAGGGAGGGGGGCGATCCAGCCCTCCTGGAGAGAAAGGTAGGAGGATAGGACAGATGCAAACCTGCCAACTACTAGGTGAGAAAGGCAGGTACTCCTTCATACGCTTTACTGTACTTTTATTTTGCTAAAAGGAGTTGGAGAACAGTTTCCTACTGTGGAATAAGAAAGCAAAGAGTGAATTTTCCATGTGTTGTTTCATCTGAACTCCAAATGCATCTTATCTGCTTTTCCAAGGCATAATTGTAAAAGGATACTTGGAAATCATTTTGAAAATCATCTCTCTGTAAGTTCGGTACACCAGGTTCTCTATCATGCTCTTCTTTTCATACACAGCTGCTACTTCACCATCAGGATCACCGACATCCGCTAGTGTAACTGTGGAGGACACAACCTCAGAGCTCAGTACAGAAGCAGCAGGGACCCCACCTGAGGAACAAACAACAGGGTATGATGGGAAAAACTCCTGTATATTATATTGTCAAAATATGAATTTATCTATATAATTATTGAAAATAGGTAAACGGTATCACTATACCCACTCATTTAATTACTTCTTATAAATAACAGCACCTTGGATTGTTCTTGCAGGGTGAAATGGTAACCATTTCTTTGGCATTAATACCACAGTGCTAGCATAAGGATTTAAAAGAAAATCATACAATTAGTAGTTTTCCATTTTTTATATTGTTTAAAATATGCTACTTTTTTTTCTTCCTCATAATACTCTATATAATGTAGACTAATAGATGTGATCTAACAAGCTTATATTTCCATGTTGACCAGACAGACTCCAAATTGTAACCAGGCCTAAGCTGGATGTGGCACAAAGTCCTTATTAAACTTAAAAAAAAACCCACATTCAATCATAATAACGGATGACACCATTTTAGTTTCCATGTTCTGAGTATCCCTGCCTCTTTTTTTTTTTTTTTAAGCAAGAAATGATGATGGACAGTTTAATTGGTCCTCCATGTAAGTGATGAAAGAGTTAACTGGCTATCTTTCAGCCAGCTGACTGGTAGGGTGGTGTGTGTAACAAGCTTGCTTTCCAAAGGCAAATGTTTGCAATATTTAAATCTGTGGAACGTAAAGATGATCAGAGCTATACATTTAGAAATTTTCAGTGCATCTGTGGTCCGGTTTCAGCTACAAAAAATGCCTTTTTAAATTTTTTTTAAATCTGTGACCTGAATATAAAAACTAAGTATTACAGTTACCTGTTAAAGGTCACAAAATGCCATAAATGGTGCTCTAGATCAAAAATATGCTTCAGCTGAATAAGCTCACTGCATTCTTAGAACATTATCAGCTAAATAGATGTTCCATTACTATTTTCTTCAATTCAAAAGAAAAATGGGTGGTTTATAAAAACATTAAAAAAGAATACAATGCCTATATGCTAAAATAAGTAATTTCAAATCAGCTCTCCAAACGGCACACATTTTCATCAAACATAAATTGGCTAAGAAATAGTTCTGGTATCTGTGTCTTTTATTAGTATTTCAGGTTTGGTGGCTTAATTCTAGTATAACCTCTCCAATTTGAAGACATATATTTGGTCTATATATGGCGTTTATGGCATTTTGTCGTTTGTGCTCCAAGTAATTCACAGAATTGGGACATGGCCAGAGGACCTTACCCAAGTGCTTTACACTACATTCAGTCATTCACACTTACACACTGATGATGGCAGGCTACATTGTAGCCACAGCTGCCCTGGGGCTTACTGACAGAACGAGGCTTCCATACAGGGCCCTCTGACCTCCATCAGTAGGCAGTGCAGGTGAAGTGTCTTGCCCAAGGACACAATGAAACTGAAAACCGGAGCTGGGGCTTGAACCGTCAACTTTCTAGTTGCAAGGCAATCTCCTACATCCAACACCACTGTAGTATATAAACATGATGCTCTGTTAAAAAGATGCAGAAAATAATAGTAAACTATAATATATTTGGTTGGTTGGTATATAAGGTCACAGCTTATTTAGATGTTGGATGTATTTACCAGATTTTGTGGTGTTTTTAATTCTAATTGCAGTAGCAGATAGACTTAATCTTTTATTTTCACTTAAAAACTAATGGAGGGTATCCTTTTCAGCTGTTCAGTTTTGTACTGTTAGATTTGTGTATTCTAAACCAATGTTCTTCTGTCCGTTGTGATGTTAGTCCCAGTTCTCCGAGCCCAGTAACCCAACAGATGACAGCAATGAGCATCTCTCAAGATTCGGGGACCGTAGATTCTGAGCGAGCTGTTGCTGAGGGAGAAGAAGAGGAAGAGGATGAGGAAGAGGAGGGTACATCCAGTAGCACAGGTGAGTATTTGATAAGGCTGGGGAGGCTGTGGTTATACCTTCAAAATGATTTGAGTGGTCAGTATAACTAGCAAAGGGCTGTATAAATTAGCTGAATAATTTTTGACAGAAATCTGAATTGTAATCATTTTCGACCAATAATGCAATTGCGCCTTTGATTTTGTTGTAGAACATGTAGATGTTCCAGGTTTTTCATTGCCTTGTTTGTCCAGAGTCCATTGTTGCAGGACTTTACCATAACCTTTGTTTGGAAAGGTGCTTACAGTTATTTGCATGCATTGTTCGGCATGCTAGCTGGAAGTTTCTCTTTCGTTTTTTTGTGGCAGCAACCCCATTTTAAACACATTACCACCACCTAAAGTGCTAGAGTAAAAAAAAAATAAAAAATTAGGCTCTTACTCTTGTTAAATGTAACTTGACCAAAATATGAGTGCCCCTGGGATTTTAAAAAATATCTTTTGTTGCGATTATATTGCAAATGTAATTAATTGCCCAGCCCTGGTATGAATTCAGTCTATTGACCACAAAGGTTCCCAGTTCTTTTTAGTTGAGATAAAGACCCACAGCATCACAGAACCTCCACCATTCTTAACCATGCTTTTTCATTACCCTTTCCTCCAAACGACACCCAGACTCAAAACGTTTTCATCAACTCCACTGCCTTATTTCAATCTCATGTTTTCTTGCTCTACCTCTTTTGAAAATGAGCCAAGACTGATGGGCTTCTTTATCAGGTCAAAATTGCATCCAAGGATATGTAATATAAAAGCTTTTAAAGGAAATCCAAATAAAAACCCCATAGATAAGCTCCATAGACTACTTTCCCTCCCACTGATTAAATGTAGTCATAAAAGTCTGGACCTTTTCTATAATTCTCTTCGTAATTTACCTCAACTGTCCTAAAAAAATGCATATTGTCATTTTACAGAGACAAATGATGAACTGTATTTCAGCTTGATTTTCCTGCCTTATTTGATAATTTCAGACACTATGTTAGCCTTTTATAAATGCCAGATTAAATGAAGCACAAATTCAATTTTTTGTTTTTATAGACTGCTAGTCCTGAGCTAAAGTGTAATGTTTCCTTTTTCAACCTCAGAACCTGTGGGTGATGGAGCACAAGCTTCCTCTGATGGTGACCAAACCCCCGATAAAAACAAGAAAAAGAACCGATGTTTTTCCTGCCGGAAGAAAGTGGGCCTTACTGGTAAGCTGGAAAATTCATTTCCACTCATTTAGGCTAATTATTAAGCTCTTGAGTGAAGCAGTGTTCAACAGGTATTTGAATAATGGACCAGGATTGCTACAAACTTTTACTTTAAACTGCACTTCTCGCTAAAACCATTCAAATTGGTAGTTATCTAACAGATGTGACTGTTTTCTTCGTGAAAATACTTAAATATTGATTTTCTACATTGGTCATCTCTTTTTGACTTATCAAGCTGACACGGTCTTGATTGTCTACACTCTGTGATCTGTGACTTTTAACGTTATAATGAAAAGAGGAAATCAACATTTATTACATATTTTTAAAAGCGTTAACAGTAGGCCAGCATTATTACTAAAGATCAATTTCTAAAATGTCTGAATGAAAAGGGGGAGGCATTAAATGTTTGCTGATTTGTGGGCTGATTTGCAGCATAACTCTTCAGAGCCTTTTTACTGCCGACGTCACAGTGACCTCAGAGCGTCAGCTGGAGGCAGCCAATAGCAACCAGCACAGGGTCTAGTTGTTAGCTGTTTGTTTGTTGGTTGCCAGAATGGACAGAGTACAGACAGTTGAAATGTTATTACTTACCTGCTGCTACTTCCAGGCAAACAAAAACTTTGTGATTATACTCAATAAAACATTGGGACTGGACACGATAATAAAACTTGCTATCTTTTGAAACTCACACTTTATACCAGGCAAGTTAAGGAAAATTAATTTTTTTTTCTTTGGCATGGGTTAATTAACTTTATTCACCAAGCCAAGCAAGTGCAATGCACTGCCAGGGTGTTGTTTCTTCTGTTTACAATGACCTAGCAACTGCAACTAAGTAGAGGACGTTTCCACTGATCTGGTTCTGTCTGTTAAAGTTAACTTTTTAAAATGATTATCCTGAAGTTAATGGTCTTAAATATTCATCAAAAATCAGATTGTTTTTTTTTTTACAGCTGTTGTTGAAAAGAAGAAAAAAAGTACAACAAATCAAACACACAATCCAAAAAGTGACCAGCCCAATCAGCGGGCTGTCTGGCTCAGTATTTGTTCCGCTTATTCCTGATGCTATAGGAGCTTAGTCACTTCAATGTTACCTGGGCAGTTTTCATCAGGTAGTGTTTATACATGTAACTTTTAATCAGAGAAAAATACCTGAGAATTTTGTTGCTAATTTCTCACCTCGATTTTTGGGTTAAACTGACCTGAATGGAGTTATTTTTGTGGTTTGTTTTTATTTAATCCAAGAAAAAATACGATCTGAAAGGGGGAAATAATTCTAAAAGTAAAATGAGTATATTGAAGTGAAGAAAATATTTGCATTGATGGCCAGTGTTGGTATTTTTTGGGACTGACGAAAAAAAATTTAGAAAATATTTTGTTATAGAATAAAAAAAAAAAGATGAATTGACTTTTGGAAAATTATTACAAAGGAAAAAAGCTCTTTCAAAAATATCCTTTTTTCTGGGCCAGTTTCAACAGAATTGAGAGCTGAATGATATTTGGTGCATTCAAGATGAGCAGCGCCTCACCTGGAATGTGGATGAGAGCTTACAGGTGTTTTTGATGGGAGGGGTTGATGGTCTGTTATGAAGCTTGACAGAGCTGACTACAAATAAACAAGATGGCTGGTTTGTGTTATGCAACTTATTCGTGGAAAATGTACCTTGAAACACTTAGAAATACTCTGATTTAACTGCATTCCTTTTCAAAATGAATGTTCTCTTCCTGTGGATTCCTGTGGGTTAGGATTATTAAATACAGCCACAAGCTCTCATTCACATTCCAGGCGAGGCGCTGCTCAACTCGAATACACCTGCTGGTGGAGCGAGGCAGTCTGGGCAAGTGAGACTTTCCTTATGGGCGTTAAAGATGGAGGCAGAACCACCTTTGCACCTAATATCACCACTCGGCTCTGAAATCTGTTAAAACTGGCCAATAGGAGAGAGAAATCTATTTTTGAGAGAAAATATTGGTCTCTGCACAAAAAATAAAATATTTGATAGTAAAAATATATTTTTAAAAGCTTTTTCCCTTGGAAATCATTTTCCAAATGTAAATTTATGAAAGGTTTTCTGTTGATCCTTTTTATTCAGTCCCAAATGACATAAAATTTTTTTTTTTTATCTTTATCTATATATTAGAGTTATTGTTGGTTAATTTTTCATATTTACAATGTGCTTTGATATTTTGTTGTGTATGTAAATTAATTTAATATCAGTATAGCTATAGGAGTTCATGGAGCTCATAACTCAAATTCGAATTTAACCCTAAAGAAAACTATTGTTTCACAGAAACTTCTGCCATTTTTAAGCAAAGTGGTGATTTGTATTGTTCATATATTTGCTCTCTTGTGTTTTTTTGTTTTTTTTGACATAAAGTCCCATTATTCCCTTCATCAATCTTGCTGACCCTTAAAAATGAAATAATCATTAATAATTTTGAGGAATGGCCATTTAAATTGTTTAAAGATAATCTTACAACTTCCCTTTTGATTTAGCATCGATGCTAGGACATCGCGGTTTTTTTTATAAAGTTGGGCGTTTTGATGTACCTTTAACATTCAGCTCTGGCCTAGGTATGCTAACAGATTTGAGAGAAACTACCTGTTTGATAATCATTACTTATGTAAAAAAAAAAAAAAAAAAACTTAATACAAAATACATGTGAAGATACCATATAGTGTTCCATGTAGTCTGCGTTTTGCTTTAAATATGATCATCTGAGCCGTTTAGAAGCAAAGCTTATTTTTGGCAAAGCTTGATTCCAGTCTTAATAGAAGCAAGTTAAGAATATGGAATCAAATGATTTCATCAGTATACAACTTAGATCATTTACTAAAAAGAGAAAATGACACCACTTCAAGTAATAGTCACTACATTTGAGAAAGGCTTAAATAAGTATACATACTAATTAAAAATACTATAAATACTCCAATAGATCATATATTTCTCTAAATATCCCTTCTTATCAGCATTTCTCAAAAGAAAGAAAACCCATGCAATGGTTAAGCTTATGCACAAAGCTCTTGTTTCTCATTCTAAGCTGATAATTTTAATAATCCTTGTGAGAATATTGTAGGATTAGATCTCTAGACAAGGCTAGGTCCTGGCATTTTATGGTAATTTAGAGGCAAATATGTAATAGTTTAGAGAAGCATTGCACTAGAATGGCTGTACAGCCATTGACGTTTTAGAACAGTGCCCTGAAATGCTAGTGGTTAAATTAGCCAAAGTTCAAGTTCATACCTTTTTAGAAGCTTATAGAAGATAAACTCCAAATTAAAATTGAGTTTACATTATGTACCTAGAGCTATGATTCTTCTTCTGTACTTTTACTCTTTTCACTATTGTGACAGTTTTTAATGCATTACTGCCATGAAAATAAGGGACAATTCTGTACATTTTCTGAAATGATTTTTCTTTCAAATGTTTTCTTAAATGTATTTTAAGTTAAATTTAATGTATTTTTATTTTTTTTGTATTGTGGCCATTGGTATTTTAAAACAAATTATTTTGAAGTTAATTATTTACACCTTTATGATATCAAACCCATAACATGTTTTACTTCGCATCTTTCATTTTTTTTTTTTTTTTTATAAACAAAATTGGTAGCTAATGTCTAGAGATCAGATCAATTTATTAAATGTAATGTTTTCATTAAGAATATTATATGAATTTCTGGTTTTAAAAAAACCCAGTTATTTTTATTCTTAAAATGCCATATAAAGCTTCAATTACTGAATCATCTAGTTTAAAACTCGTAGTGTTACAAAAACAGAATTCTTCTTTAATGCTAAGGGATTTTAAATTAATTTCACAGCATTCCAGGTCCCCGAAATGCTGCTAAAGTTTTCAAAGCCATGTTCCTTTATTTAGGTTAAAAGTTTAAAGAATGGATAAGAGCAAATTTTCTGTGTCCAGTAAGTCTTCCTCTTATCTACAGACGTATTTTTGTTATTCTTGCAGCCTGAATGAATATTAGTCATTTTGTAGAAAATTATTTCCTTTGACAAAAACTTGCATCTTTGTGTCATTATTTTGCACTATACTTGTGCTGAAAATGCTTCACTTTATATCTTCTTTGCCCCGCAACAACTTGATCGGAAGGAGGATTTCTGCTCTAGCCAGTCGAACTAAAAATCTTATTGTGGTGACGAGCTGATTTCTCAGTAGACATCTGATTAATGTAAAAATGCTCACTGTGTGAAAGATGTTTAAGGCATATTTTCGAACTACTGCTGATTTAAATCTCTTGAGCTCATTACAGCATTTACACAATGTAAAAGTGTTTGTATTTTAATTGTTTTTTAATTATATTTTCAAACCATAATTTGTTTGAACAATTTTCTCTTTTTACTTATTTTTTTTTTTTTATTAGGTTTCGACTGTCGCTGCGGCAACCTGTTTTGTGCCATCCACCGCTACTCTGACAAACACGACTGTCCATATGATTACCGGAGCGCAGCAGCTGCACGCCTACGCAAGGAGAACCCCATCGTGGTAGCTGAGAAAATCCAGAAATTATGAGGACTAAGTGCAATAAAAGTCTCTGAGACTTTGTGAATTTGAACAATGGTGACTTGGATGGGAAAAAAGCAAACACCTGACATCATGGCTTCATTTTGTTCAAGATAGTCAAAGGCGGACAGGGGGCGACGTGGTCGCACTAAAAATCAAGACACATCCCTCACTAGCGATCCCCTTCCTCTCTCTCGCTTTCTCTCAGCTTGTGACTGCAGCTAAATCTGAGAGTGTCTGTGTTTTAGGATTGAATGAAAGTGTGTGTGTTTGCATATATCTGCTGGAGAGTTAGGGAGAGAGTTATAGGGGCTGGATGGATGTTTGTTTTGCCATGGGGAGGGTGGGATTTTATTTGACCCCTTTTTGATTCTCAACTTGGAGGGATCGTGAGTATTTTTATTTTTTGTGCAATCCCTTTAGGTAGTTGAAATAAACTGTGGATAAGCTGTTTGGGGAGTGTGCCACAGCCTGGATAATGACACAGGATCCTTCAGAAGGTTTAGTTAGTTTAAAAAAAAAAACACATTTTATGTGTAAGAATCTTTTTAAGGGCTTTGGAATATTTTTTCTTAGACTTTAAAAAACCTATAACCTTTCTATTGACATTGCTTTTTTCCTTTTTTTTTTTCTTCACCCTTCTTAAATCTTACGCTGTGGATTACCACATGTGGAAGTCCAAAGGCTAGCGTTTTTTCAGATTTCTTTCTGTTGACCTGTATGGATGCCGGGTGCATGATTGGGGAGGGAAAGGTCAGGGCAGTCAGAAAACCTTGACTTAACCGAGTGGCTGAATCCCTTTGTTTTCTGTTTTGTTTTAATGAGCGTATGACATCAGAAGATCTATATTAATATATTCTAGTTAGCTTGAATTGTGTGATTGCATTCTATTTATTTTATATTGGTTGGTGTGTGCTGGAGGATTGGCGGCATGTGTCAGCAAATTGTTAGGAATTGCACTTTGCAGTTATATTTAAGTAATTCCATCTTTAATCTTTAGCTATGAAAGTAAAACAGCTCATATGGATTGGGGTGCAGTTCCACTGCCTCTATGCAGTAAAATTAAGTTTTTTTTTGTTTTGTTTTCTTTCTTTTCTGTTAAACAAAGCACAACAACTGATATCAACTGCAGAGCACAAAACATGTGCCACTCCTACTTGGTTTCTTTCAGCGTCTTGGTCGTGTTAAGTTTATATCTGAGCTGTAGAGCAGGCTCAGAGGAAAATTGCCTTGTTCTAGTGATGAGGTGTTCTATTTGAGCTTTTCCTACGAAGCCTTTATTTGTGTGTGTTTGTTGTTTGGAGTCAGAGTAGGGCTCCATGTTTCTCTAACCACCAGCAGACCACTGACACATGCTGAATGAAAACCGAAGTGGGTCGCAGTTAAGCTACACACAGGTAAAAACATGTTCCGCTCAGCTACAGCAAAGATTGTCGCCATGCTGTGCTTTTTACATTGCGCTCTGATTCAGATGAGTCCTTCTGCAAAGATCGCTTCTGGCTAGCTTGTTTTCGGGAAACTCCAACCTAATGCATGTGTGCAGTTGGACATGAATCACTGCATAGTGGGAAAACTTTGGCGTTGCCATGACGAGAAGGCGACATGGCAGGAGCACAATGCATGGCTGAAACCTTTAGGGTTTAAACAAGGACGACTGAACAGTTTAGGATTTTCTTTCCAAATGTAAATAACATATGGCTCCACTGCATATAGTATAATCTTTATGTAGATTATTGCCAGGTAATTAAGGTGATGGATTGAGGTGAAGAATAGTAATGTGTATTAAAAGTGCTTTTCATAATTATCCCAAAAAAAATAAAAGTGCCCTTACTGGCACTGACAATTTTACCAATTTATTACCCAATTTAATGTACAATTATTACATGTAAAATTCAGTGTTTTCTGTAGACACCCACTACTTGTATCTTTACAAAGTCTTTCATTGTCTGTTTTCTTATTTTTTCTTTTTTTTAAACAATCATAATCCCACAACCATCCATAAGCATTTAATATTCTTCACTTACTCTGTATCCCAATCCTGTTTAAAAGCTTAAAAAAATCCCTCTTGTCATTCAGGTAGCATTTGACGTTTAACCTTTCCATTATTTACACTTTTCCCTTAAACGTTGCTTGATTGTGATGATGAAATATTTATAGAAGAGCCGTTTAAAAAAAAAAAAGCTGCAAAGAAAATGGAACCTTTTTTTTTTTTTTTTGTTAAAGAAGCCAATGCAAATTGTGACCGATGTGACGCTTTTCTTCTGAGACGAGTTTCGCTTTAACTCCTTGATTTTTGATTTCCTGACATGTTTGAATGGCTGCTGGGGTGAGGACTCAGCACGCCAGCGACAAACCCATTTTACCTGCGTTAGGCTGAGCATCTATAAACCCTGACTGTGATTAATTTCTCCTGCCATTTTGCATCTAGTGGAAAATTGAAATTCAGACGGTGGGTGAATCTTGGGTGATGACGAGACAAAAATCTGACTTGCTTTACAACTTCTAACTGCCTCATCCCTGAATATAAAAACATAATTCCCAGACTTTCAGATGTTTGATAGAAAACATTTAGTTCTGCTCTACAGATGATTTGTGAAATGATTTTTATGCTGCATAAATCATGAGGGTTCCATGTTTGTGTTGCTTATTAAGGACTGCTCATATCAGTATCCAAACCCGATAGACATGCTTGTTATAGTTTGGAGCAGTTTGAATGTAAACTACAAGATTTCTCACAAAACACGATGTCAATTAAACTGACTATTGGGATTTTATTTTGACTGTTTCAGGTTGAGAAGGGATACCAAGTTGTCCTTTTTTTATTTTTATTTACATAAACCACAGTTGAACCACTAACATTGTTTAGATGGTGATTTGGCACCAGCAGTTAGGGATGGCATTCTAGTCTCCACCATTACATTAACCTTTTTTTTTCTTAATATTGATTATGTGCAGCTGTCTTCAATTCATTAAAATAGATCTGTTTATCATTTGAGGGGGGGTTGATTGACAAAGATAAATCTGCATCTTACGCCTCCAGTTTAAGCTCTGGTTCACAAAAGCAAGTTGAGATTATTTTGATCACTGTCATTGAAGCTAAATTGTAGAAATTTCAATTGAAACTATTTGTTCAGAGATCTAGTTCCTGTCCCTTTGCACTCCAGTTCCCCAGAGAAACCACCACATAAGATTTTTTTTCCTTTTTTTTTTTCTTTTAAGAGTTAGGATTGTATGATGTGTAAAATTAAGTATAAAACAATAAAATCACAAAGTTTATTTTAAAGTAAACTTGTCTTTTGTTTTGCTTTTTAAACATGATTGTTACTTTTTTCCCACATTTAGCTGAAGCCTTAGTCGTTACATGTACCGTACTTTATTCCATCATTCATAAAAATAATTGTGACCACATATTGCAAAGTTGTGCTTTTGCAGTTTGCCACAGGCTATGTAGTGCACAGGGCAAACACTTGGGAGCTACTGCTTTCATATTTGACAAAAAGTAAACCCTTATAAGGCTTAGAACGCTATTCTGCACAAATAGGAAAACTGGATGTTGAATACATAATACAAAAAAAACCTTGAAAAAACACAACAGATTGGATTAAATTAGAGTGTTCTGAATTATTAGAAGGATCCATTCAAAATCCTGATCTAATTCTGTGACAAACCTTCACTATCCAGTCTAAATGAGCTTGAATTAAATTAATAAAGCTGACATGCCTCAAATTACTTCTAGCTGTGTAAATTATCACATCAGGATGGACTGATACAAGTGAACTCTACTTTTTTCCTGATTTCAATACATCCATAACTAAATTATTTTACCTTGATTTTTAAATTTACACACGAACTCCTCATCTTTCAAATAAAATCACTTAATGCAATTAAACTTCTGGCTGTGAGGTGACTGTTTGTGGATACAGTACTCCAGCAAGGCACTCTATAGCTTTATGCACTAAACGTTACATTATTGGACTAAACCAGTGCCCTTCTTTCACACGGTCCCTCAGCTTTTGTACTTATTGTTTTGAGATTCAACAAAATGTTGGAACAAATGGTGCCATCCAGCAGCACATAATGTGCTCTAGTGATCAGCAACACTCAGAGCTTGGTCAAAGCAGCTGAGTTTGTTTTGTCTGAATAAAGCCTTACGATGACTCCTGTTGTGATTTTTACAATTCATAAGAATTAAATTAAATGAACAATTGTGCTCTTTGCTGAAACACTGCAGCTTTGTCCCCTAATGGGATTGAAATCACAGAAAAAGCTTTTAGTGTTGGGATTCTACATCATACAAAAACGGTCCTGTGTAAAATGACCTAAATAAGTAGAGCACTAGAGCAGGTGCTGTGTCCTCTACTAAAGGCAATGCACAAGAGACAAACAAGGTTTCCTGACTATCTGTTGAAGAAATTATTACATTTTATGAATAGACTTTTTACAAATGACATCATTTTACTTCGCTATTTTCAGCTAGGACTGTCATTTCTTTTTGCACAAGCTTTAAGCACCAGGAATACGCCATCACAGACCCCTGTAGGCCCCAACAAATTAGATCTTTTGCTTTGCACAGTGCATTCTGCTTATACTGAAGAAAACCAGCTGACAAACCTGTCTGAATCACAATATAATTCAATGTAACAAAACCCAGCATCATTGTCTAATTATAAAACATTTGTGCTCTGGTTATATTTTTTGCTACATCAGCACAAGCAAAAATAGTTTCAGCAAGTAGCACCTTTTAAACTATTCTATGAGTCTGAAGTTGTTTTCTAACCTGAGAAAAGATGGCTTTTCTCAGAAAAGGTTTGGTTGGTTGGTTGTTTTCTACAATCTTTTGGGATACTCAGTAGAAAAGCACCCTGGGAATGCAGAACAGATCAGGTGCAGGAATACCTTAAAATCTGTTCCCAGCTTCTATACAGAAAGTGTAAGACGTTCAGTATGTAAATATTAAATATATTAATTTCAAGGCCATGTAAGTTCTAAAAAACATTGCATTAATGTAACCTAGAAGCAGATAATAAATAAGAATTTCAATGTGCTTAAATAATAGAATTAATCTGATCTTTGTTATTTTCATGACATAGAAAAAGCCTAAACTAGTTCCTACATTTTTTTGTCAAATCAAAGGTTTAATTAAAAAAAAAATACACCCAGACCGGTGAGCCTATTGGACCAGTAAAAAAATCATTGTCATCCACAAAGATAGTGTTTTTCTAATATTGTTTAAAGGCATATACAGCTTTAAATACTCTCCTTGGATACAGGAATGTGCAGAGGAGGCAAGAAGGAAAACTATACTGTGAGACCATGTCATAATTGGGAAGAGTTTTTGAGATGTGTTATTAAAATGGAATATAAATATTTTGAGCAGGGATCATTTTAACCTCTGCACCAGACAGCTTGAAATAATTAAGCAAATGTTTTGCTTTTTACAGTATAATACATTTGTCTATGCTGTCAACAGCAAATGTAAGATCTAGCAGCAAGACAGGATTAGTGAGCCTTCACCACTTTAAGAGATGTTCTCTGTGGAATGAAGAAAATTCAGCCTGTAGTAGTTCATGTAAAATTTTAGCTCTATACATTGATTAGTGAGCTGAAATACATTATCTACATACTACCTTTCAAAATAAAAAAATATATGTTCAAAACAAATACATCATTTGAGCTTTTTGTCCATGTTAAAAGTTTTATTTCTTTTGATTGTTTTGGACGTATAATGTGGAAAATCCCTGCAGCCAGTTACTTTCATTAAAAGCATGGGCAGTTTTAGAAAGGGGCCAACAGGGGCCTTTGCCCCTGTACTGAAAACATAAATTAAAAAACCTTCTTATATTGATATGCTTGAACAAAAACCGCAACTAATTGGTCCCTTTGAGTAATTTAATAACAAAGCTTTTCAGATTACCTTAACACTAATTTAGAAATGATGGTCTGTTGCCTTATTCAGATAGGATCGCAGTTTTTAATCTATCAGATCAGCGGTCTGCAAGCTTTCTTTGTGGCTCACTTAAAGTCGTAGGAAAGCGGCAGTTTCAACCGTTGCATTTCCAAATTCTCTCAAGAGGTGCCCGACTTTACATGAGTGAGTAAAGTGAATTGTCGATTATCACGAGACCAGGGTTGTTGTGGCAGAAGGTTCGCAAGGAAGTTTGGTTGTGACCGGTGTCTCGGAAGCATCTTGCCAACTAGTTAGCAACTTAATGCTAGTAGGTTCCCAATGGGAAATCACTTTGTGACCAATTGGCACTTAATTGGTGACCTTAAACGACACTGTCAAGGAACGCTATGGACAGCGGAAACATGCAAGAGGAGGAGAGTTTTGTGTCGGAGGTCGTGGATGAGTCACCTCCTTCATACATTTTTTATTTAGAGGAGGAAAGCGTGGAGGAAGATGTTGTGGAAGAGGACGCCAGGGCGGCAGAAGCTTGGTTTGGTGTAGATGGGTTAAAGCTGTACATGTTTGATCTCTTGCCACACAACGCTGCCAGTTCTGTTAGCTCTACGCCTGCCGAAGACCCAGACGTCCATCTCCGTGAAAACTGGGACATAACTTAATGGGAAAGTAAATGATTCTTATTTCAACTGTTGTGTATTTTAGCTGCGACATCTGAATCAAGATGCTATGACCGAAAAGATTTGATTGACAGATGACTGTTGATGTATGATTGGCTGAATTTCGGTGTACAAGCTGACATACAACTAACTTTCCTGCATAAAATAACGAAAAAACCCCAGATTTTAAGACAGAATTTTTTTTTTGAACAGAAAGTGTCGGGACAGTATTGTCAAAGAGTATATTTATATACATGTTTAAGCCAGAATGATTTAACATTAACATATGATTTCACTACGACTTTAATATACAACACAATGCTCTATTAATCTGTTTTTTTTTTTTTGTATATGATTTTTTTTTGTTGGAATAAAAAAACAACCCTCCCGCCAGTAAGATTAGTTGGTTGGTTAACATTCACAGATTAGCACCTTCTTTGTATTTGATTCAATTGATTTTTGTTTAAGACTTTTAAATTAGGCTACTTATATACTTTACATAATCTTTGGGTTTTACCAAAAATATTTACTGTTTTTGCTAGATGTTGAATTTGAAGCACTTATATGAAATGGGCTGTCTTGCATGTTTCAGGAGCGCTTGGTTCTTTTGTAATTTATTAATTATATCTTATGCAAATATGTAAATTAACAGTTTTCTTAAAACAATCAGGTTTATTGGTAATTTATTAAATATATCTTCTGCAAATATGTAAATGAAGAGTTTTCTTAAAACAATCAGATTTCTTTGTAAGTTATTAATTATATCTTCTGCAAATATCTCACAGTTTTCTTAAAACAATAAGGTTTATTTGTAATTTATTTATTATATCTTCTGCAAATATGTAAATTAAGAGTTTTCTTAAAACAATCATGTTGACTTCCGGCATTCGCTTTCCATAAACCTCTTACGTCATTTCCGGCCAGCTATCGCTTCCGGATGCGGTGAATAGCAAAGACGATGAAACCACCGCTCCTACGAGGATTAATTAAAACGGCCAGACGCTTTCGGTGCACTTAGCAGAGATATCTACACCGGCCAGGCTATTTTCATCTAGATAGGTTGAGTCAGTTGAGACAGCGCGGTTTGACCGTCTTCCTTTGAGCTGTTTTGCTATTTTACAAAGTGTTTATATCCTCGAGCTGCTAGCTTAAGCCTCGGTTAGCTGGTGCGCAGACAACGGGCTGTCTCTGAGATGATAATCGGACTCGCTGCTGTTTAACCTGATACAGCTCTCCCTTCTTTCCTTGTTCAGTGGGGTGCAGCTGTCTACGTGTTTTGGGTCTATGTTAGAAGCGTTTACATAGTCTTTACGGACCTACTACCGCGACTATCCTACATACAGGTTTGGTTATTAAAAAAAAAAAAAAAGTAAATAGTATCTGAAATCAAGTTACAACTTAACAAAATGGCTGGACTCTGGACTTCAATCTCTTCCAGGAAAACACTGCAGATAGTTTGTAAATAACACTTCCCTGTCAGCTTCTAGGCTGCTCTACTTTAGCATTGTTCTGCCGACAGGACACTTAAAACTACATTCCGTGTTGGAAACTGAAGAGGAAGACGACATCCTTTATTTATTTATACTTGTTGGTCTAAGCCACGTTTATCTTTTCATACTCCAAGATCTTCAGCTCAACAGGTTAGTTAACTTCGCTGCTTGTCATATTATTTGGTGTTTGTTTTGTTTCTCATGATTCCTCTATTAAAAGTTAGTT